GGAGCCGGGCATTGTGCCACATGCTTGTAATCCCAGCATTCAGGAGGCTGAGGCAGGAGGATCACTGTGAGTTCAAGGCCGGTTTGGGCTACCAAATGAGTTCAAGGCCAGCCTGAACTACATAGTGAGACCCTGTCTCCCATTTGCCTGCCCCTCAAAAACACCCTCAAGGACTTGGTAGCCCAAGTTAACTGTGAAGGTTAAGCTAGTTTTAACCTTCTGGGGTAATGGGTTAACTTGGAAAAGGGTTTTTAGGGTGAGAGGTGGAGTTAGCTTTTATCATTAGCGTTGTTTCCTGAGCAGGCATTGTTTCCCAAAGGTCCTTGTCCTGGAGTTCACGCTGGAGGGTTTGTGAGTGGAGATAAATCACAAACAAAAGCCACAGCGCAATATAGATTCTCACAGAGAAGACCGAGTGCTATAAAAAAACAAAGACAGCAACAAATTGTTGAAGGCAATTGGAGGGTGGGGATAGTAGGGAGTCATGGAAAGTTCCAGAGCAGTGATATCTGAGTTGGCCTTGAAGAACAGACTGATGCTTGCAGGGCAGAGAATTAGGGAAGAACAATTATTTGTTTAATAAATATGTCCAGAATACTTAACTTTGTAACAGATACAGTCCTAGGTAGGGGGGACATAGCAGCAAGTGAGACAAAGCCCTTGCCTTTGAAGGGTAGAAAGAAACCACAGCTCCGAAAGGGCGTGGCATGTTTAGGGAAGGTGAATTCAGCGTGGCTTGACGACAGAATACACAGGCTGTTGGCAGAAAATAAAGCCTGCAAGGGAGGGTAGGGACAGGTAGTAAAGGGCCTGTTATGCCACACTAAGACATTTAAGAGAACGCTGTTCTGTAAGCCATTGGCTTTTTAAAAAATTTCTTTTAAAATTTTTGCATTGCTGGGGATTGAACCCATGATTGCTAGACAAGCGCTCTACCACTGAGCTTCATGCAGCCCTGGCCCCATTATTAGCTTTTAAACAATTCAGAGCTTTGGAGCCCTTTCCGTAAAGGAAATCTACCCCCCCCCCCCGGACCGGGAATCGAACTCACGACCTTGTGCTTGCCAGGGAGGCACTGTGCCGCTCAGCTAAATCCCCAGCCCCAAGACCACTCTGAATTACCTAGCGAGACCCTGTCTCAAAAAAAAGGACTAATAGCTAGAATATATAAAGAACTGAAAAATAAAAATAACCCTGAAAAAACAAACGACACATTAGAGAAACGAACTGAAAAGATACTTCTGAAAGTAAGTACATATAAAGGCATGGTGGCACACGCCTGTAATCCCAGCACTCCAGAGACTGTGGCAGAAGGATTCTTGGGAGTTCGAGGCCAGCCTGGGCTACACAGTAAGCTGAAGGCCAGCCCGAATTGCATATCCAGACCCTGTCTCAGAAAGACCAAAAAAAAAAAAAAAAAAAAAAAAGTAAATAGAGGTGGTCCACGAGTACATAAAAAAATGCCCAACATCTTTAGTGATAAGGAAGATGCAAATCAAAACAACTTTGAAATTCCATCTTACCCTAGCTGGAATTGCTAACAAAAACACACACACGCACACACAAACATCAATGAATGCTGGGATGGGGGCGGTGTTGAAATCCCTCTACACTATTAGCAGAAATGTAATATAGAACAATCACTATGAAAATCAGTGGAATCCCTCAAAAAAACCAAACTAAAAATTCCATTTGACCTATACTTCTCTTCAGCATATTCCTGAAAGAATTAAAGACATCATATTATACTGATACAGGCCTACCAATATTTATCGCGGTGCAACTCACAATAACTAACCTCTGAAAAAAGCCTAGATACCTATCAAAAGATGAATGGGATAAAAAATGTGGTTATACGCAGAGGAGTATTATTTAGCCATACAGAATGTCACCTGCAGAAAATGTACAGAATTCAAAATCATGTTAAGTGAAATAAGCCAGATCCAGAAAGTTAAGTATATGATGTTTTCTCTTTATGAGAAATCTAAAATATAAATAAACAGATTAAAGAAAATATGACAGGAAACTAGAAGGTAAAGTGTTGGGGAAGGGGATAGGTCAGAGGAAAAGGAGAGTAGGGTAAAGGGACTGGAAATGGTATACGTATGCACTATGCCAATTGCTAAAAATGAACATCACTATTCCGTATCACAAACTCACTTAAAAGATTAATTTTTCTCTTAACATTTTATTCTGAAAATTATCTTTTGAAGTAGTTTTAAAAATGCAGCAGAAAAAAATCAGTCCACTGTAATAGAAAAACATCAAATGCAAAGCATTTAATAAAACAATCGCTTAGTTTTCTTTTGAGACCTCATTAGTACTGGTGTAAATGGCAGCACCTACCTCTGGCGCCTACCACGGGCTTGACTAAGGGGACAGGGACCACTCAGGCAATAACTCACCACTCAAGCCTTTAAGAACAGCCAACTTCACAGAATGAACATCTGACTTTGGCTTAACTATACTAAACAGAAAAGCCGGACAAAATCACTCACAATACAGATGTTCTCCTTCGTAATTTTTGCCAAAACGTCACCAAAATAACGTGAGGGTGAATCTTGGTCCTAGAATGAGTCCAAAAAATAATTTATTGATTGACTGACTGATAGTCTTTTTGAGACAGGGTCTCACTATGCAGTTCAGGTTGGCCTCCAATTCGCGGCCATCCTCCTACCTCTGCCTCGCCAGCGCAGGGATTACAGGAGTGCGCATCACGCCAACTAAAAAATTTTGAAAAACCTCACAACACACCAGGATGCAGTACCGACTCCTCGACACCAGAGGGAGGAGTGAAGATCAAGAAGTTTCTGTGCTATTCCACTGAGCTCCCGTGCTGTGAAGAAATCAACTTTTTAGAACACTACAGGGACCCCAACGTGAAGATAAAGCCAAAGAGGTTTCTTCGAATTACAAGCTCCGGGGGCGGGCTGCGAGAGCGAGACGCCGAGGGCGCTCCCGGGAGGCCGAGGGACGGGCAAACGTCCCTGACGCCACCCCCGGATTCCGATTCCCTCCCCGACCTGCCGGCGCGGTCCTCCCGCGGCGAGCTCAGCACCGGGACGCCTGACGTCACCGCGGGCCACGACCCGCCGCGACCGAGCCCTGCGCC